CCCCCCGCCACACTGACTGGAAGCCAAAAAATTGTCAGGTCTGACAAAGAAAAAGTCTTGCTGGGCATCCTGACTTTCTGTGTGCATCACCTGAGCTTGCAAACCCTACAGCTCAGTGGCTTGCTTGCCTGATTCTCTCCTACCCCATGAATCTCAGGTAGGTGGTAAGCCCAAAGTCTAAATGGGCTTTGCACACCCTCTTTAAAATACCTATTACACGAGTTTAAAAAAAACCCTAAGCAACAGTATGTATCTTTTGTAAATTGTTTAAAAAATGTCTCCCTTTTTAGAAGAGCTGTCAAGATGACAGGTGAAGACAGGCATTTACGGTACGACGGGGTTGCCATATCCTTTTAAAACAGAGCTCACAAATTCTTGGCATTTGGTTATCCTTCCCACAACCCTGAACAGGCAACGGTAAACCAGTAAGTACTAAATATTATCCAGTAAGCCCCCATTTCAAGAACTTTTCAAAGTAACTGACAGAACTGCAGAGGAAGGGAGATAAGCATTATCCGTGCTTACAGGTAGGAAGCCCGGTAGGTTTATGGTCTGGAAAGCAAAGACTGTTGTAAAACTTGCATTAAATATTTTATGACCTTAAAAAGACAGTTTCCCTCCCCACTTACTTCTCCAGCTCTAGCTGGGTCTTGAGCTTCTTCTTTGCTCCCATGGTGAGGGATTCAAACTTATTCAGATCTTCCTCAGTAAGACTCAGAAACTTGTAAAGAAAAAACATGTGCTTAGTTTTACAGCCTGAAATATTCTTATTTACATTTTCAGTAAAGATCAATTCTGAAAGGCAACTTTAAAGCCATTTTTTTAACATATGTTAATTCAGAGAAACTCTCTACTCCAGTTTTAAATTACATCATCAGTGTAGAATAAAAGTGCGGGGGACTGGCATGAAAGAAAGAACATCTGTACATTAAATTTAATTAGTTGTGTGCTTACATTAACTAGTCACAATAAAGATGAAGTAATTCATGTACACATTAAAATAGAACTTTGTGCTATAAATGAGTTTAAGGATCTGTTTCCTCTTTAAAAATCACTCTAGTTTTCCTGGTTGTGTCATTTAACACAGAAATCAACGTGCAGTCATCTCATCAGTTTAATTGGAAAATATACTCCAAAAATAAATTTTATAATAAAATATAGACATAGAATATGAAAATCAAGTATATACATTTATAATGTAATGTAATGAAAAGTAAAGCCAGCAAAGTATGCATGATACATGCTTTTTTAAAACACACTAGAATACGCACAGTTTTGCTACTTTATTAAAGAAAAAAACACTATATATTTCCCCTCACATAACAAAGAAAATCAAATCAGAAGACTCTGGTAACAGATTCCAATTAAATACCTACAACATACTATAACCAGCACAAAGCCATCCCAGTTTCGACCTGCCTCAACCCAAGCACCGAGTCCACTGGAGGGCGATCGAGGATAAAAGACAGTAAGAGGGCATGAATTTTACAGATGGAGCTGGGGAAATGCGGTGTAAATATTCTATTTAGATAAAATCCAGCACACATAGGTTATCATTTGTGACTCTCACTACACAAACACATAAGCGATTATTTTTCCACCAGAACTTAATGCAGAAAACAAAAACCTCACATTCACTTGCAGGTATGTGCACATGCTAACGTTCATGTCAGAAGTCCCTGTGAATCTATTTTTTAAAGTAAGGATAACCAAATATTTTTGGAGAAAAATCAATCAAGAAGCAGAAATTAAAAACCCAACAAATTTTACTTATCTATTGCACATCAAAGGGATGAACAGGGAGCCAAAGCAGAGCTTCTAAGACAGCATGTGAGTTGGATCTTAAAGCATTCAGTGAAGAATTCTGAAACAGGCAGCAGCTGTTGAACAGCCCAGGCCCCGGACACAGCACGGATCAAAAATAGAAAGTAGGTTTTCATCAAAATATTATTGCTTCAAGAGAGTGCAAACCTTCACAGCATTTGCCAATGACTTCTGCAATTCTCAACGCAGATGTCTGCAGCCTCTCTCTCCACACTAGAGAATATAAGGATGATTTAAAAGCTGGCTCCCTTCTCTTAATCTACTGTCCTACCTTCTCCATTGTGAGCTGTTTGAAGACAGGATAGTATTTGTGCAACCGCAGTTTCCTGAGCCAGTCTAAGATCCCGTTTTGCTCCTGTGTCTGAGGGGTCTGTGGACTGGAAGACATTAACATGGGTGAAGAAGAGGTGTCCATCTGGGTGCGATAGGCCAGCGATGAGCCGGTACCTCCTGCGTGGGAACAGTGGGGTAGTGCAACGGGAGCAGCAGCCGAGTGCTGAACGTGATTCTGAGAAGACTGAATGCCAGCCACTCCACATATAGGTCTGCAAAATAGCAACAGAATTTGATTTAGCACATTCAATCTGTGTCACCCAGAGTTCAGCTACTACGGCCATACAAATCTACCACTTCCACGATTTCTGGTAAAACCTGCACTGTTTGATCCAAGTTACAGATTTGTAACAGTGCAGTTTATGGCAAATAGTAAGCCTTATCTTCATCTTATGCAAGCCTTATCTTCATCTTAAGCAGAGGTTTCCTTCTGTAATCACAGATAATGTATGTTCTACCACCTCTCTGTGATTTAAAAAAGGTTTGGAGGGAAGGGCCGTGGTTCAGCTTTGCATTATTAAAAAGAAGAAAAGAAGCCCAAATATAATCGTGTGGAAATTTTTTTTACATATGGAAGTGGCAAAATAACCCACAATATTGCTCCCTGGCGGGTTCTGGTTTTTGTTGGAGAACATGAAAATTGCCTCCTAAGAGAGTAAGTTCTGAGTTTGTTAAATCCTAACAAAGGACAAGAGAATTTCTTTCCTTCTTTTCCCAAGGCTGACTTCTACCTCCCTTGGAAGAGGTTTCCTTTCTCCCTCTGAAAGAAAAACCCCCGCTGTACAAGGAAACATTCAAATATACCACAGAGAGAAAAAACCCTTTCAGAGATGCTCTAGTCTCCCTTTGCCCACAGAGACTTATACTAGGGATGACCAGATATGTGCCTACAATTCAGATGATCATTATTCCTTTTGAGTATGTGATTGAGACCATTACAACTTAGGCAGTAAGCAGCGGATCACAAAGAAATCATCCATCAGCCACAGCTCAACATTGAAGTGTTGATGTCAACTAGTAGTTACAGGCTTAACCATTTTGAGAAATGCTGCTTAGAATGTGTGTTCGTAGGTTTTAGCGCCAGCAGGAACACTGCAATCGTCTGATCTCATCTCCCAGATAACACTGGTCAAAAGGTTTCATGGAATCACAGAATCGTTATGGTTGGAAGAGACCTCAAAGATCATCAAGTCCAACCGTATACCTAACGCCACCATGCCCACTAAACCATGTCTCGAAGCGCCACATCTAAATGTTGTTTGTAGACCTCCAGGGATGGTGAGTCCACCACCTCCCTGAGGAGCCTGTTCCAATGCTTAACGACTCTTACAGTGAAGAAATTCTTCCTAATATCCAACCTGAACCTCCCCTGGCGCAACTTGAGACCGTTTCCCTAAATTCTTCCCCAAACATACACACTTCTTAGGACAAGAGAGCCACTGCTGATTTCATAAGCACCAATCATGAAGGTTGTCACAATGTTAGAAAGTCTGGTCCCATGGTAATTTAAATCCTTTATTTTTGAAGCTGAAGTTGAATTCTATCTTCCGTTTCCAGTAATTATCTTATATTTTGACTTGCAAACTGTTACCTAAGCTGTTGTCTTTCTGATTAACTCGCTGCAAAACTTTTCTTCAAGCCATTACCTATACTGAGCTCTTGCAGTTATTATTATATGTTCTCTTAAGGCATATAAAGAATGAACAAATGACAATACCAGGAATGCTAGCAGTACCTTACAGCAATATTCTCACCGTTTGTCTGTTTTGGGCAGACTACGCACTAAGGCTAGGATTTCTTAAAATCTACAGATGAATATGAAAATGTAGATGCAAATAAATCGCCAAGGGGAGACAGATAAATACCTATGTAATGGGGTTTTACAACTAACCAGAACAAATGTAAACAAAATAAATATTTCACCTTCCAGATGTTCCCAGCGTAGTTCCTACTTTATAAAGGGAGGGGTTGCCAGGATCTAAAAACAGGGAACAGAAGTTACAAATGGCATCAGTTTATGAAATGTACATCAGTACAAAAAATTAGTTTTTCAACTTTATTTAAACTTACTTGAACTCTGAAGTTGCTGTGAAGGAGATGAAGTGCTGAAGAACTTTCTAACATGGTCGTTTTTCACCACATGGGAAGGTAATGGTGCCAAATACCTGCATGTTCATCGAAAGCAAGCAAACGCCCCCAGTCTGTTATATTTGATTTGCAGTGGCCTATGCAATCATGATTGTAGACTGTATATGAAATTTTTTAATTGAATTTGAAATTTTGAAACTAAAACATAAAAGACCTTTCAAATTAATAACACCATGCATTTTTGAATCAAAGCAGACTTGAAAAGTATGCATATTCTTATCCTTAATACTACTTAAACACGTTACTGTTGTGTTGTTTTCACGCTGTTTTGTGTTTCAGTAAAGATGCTTAATTTGGGAACACTGAACACCTGTAAGGCAGAAAATGTTCAAATATAAACTTGAACATTTCCTTTCAAATTCATGAACCTGAAGACCATAAAATATAGATATATCTGTTATTTAATTTTCTCCTCTTTGAGATAAACAGCAGATGCAGAGTCTGGCAGTGTGGGGAAAAAGGCTGTAAAACTTAAGTCACATTTCTCCCTGGTATTGCTGTGCCTCTTTTGAGGGAAAAAATGGCAAAATCCTAAAACTTCGTCACATGTAAAGTGTGTTCTATCAACACGATTAAACTTCTCATTGTAATGCAAACTCAACTGCCTTTGCCAAATCCTCTACGATTTGAAAACACCGAAAATTGCTTAAAAATGCGAGCATTTTGACCATATCTTTGTCATTTTTAAAAAGTCTTCGAGTAAAAAAATAATTCAACTATACACACACACACAAATGTGCTCTCCACCTTGAAAAATCACAGTTCGTTTCCTGAATTTTTCAAATATGCAGCACTTAAACAGAACAGCTTCTTTCTCTGCTCCAAAGATAAAACCGTTGCTGTGTAAACGCAGATTGCTGCTCCATTAACCCAGATTTGTAGAGACTGTTGCTAGCTAAACAGCAGCAACAGCAACATGCATTCTCTCTTACCCTCCCTAATTCTCGTCAGTAGGCTGTGATCCTCAAAGCACAGAAGGGATGGTTTGAAATGTTAATGCTGTTTGCCATGAAAAATAATCTAGGTATGCACCTGCTGGCTCTGACTATGGAAAAACAATATCCACTGTGGCTCTGCCAACGGTGGACAAAAGTCTGTCTTGACTTAGGGCAAAAAAGGTGTTTAGCAGAAGCTCTAACAAAAGTTAATTAGTATTTTAACACGTCATTTAATACTTTGCATAGATACAGACAGTAGTAGCTGAGAATAATTTAAGTCCCTCAAATTTTCCTAGCAAAACTATTTCAGTATTTAGAAAGAGAGAACTGCTGTGACCTGCCACAGATGATGATTTTTAAAAGAGTGTTTTAGATTAGATAAGGGCCAGGTGATTTGTGATAATGTGAGGAGGTACTATGTAAGGCTTCAAAAATTTCTTAGCCGTCATGGCTTCCAAAAATTTAATGGCTGTGATATATACATACATACCTACTTTTTTTTAATTAAAGTAAAATAAACACCACGACAACCTAGAAGAACTGAGACAACAAAAAACTCTGTGAAAGGGTAGGGGGGAAAAAAAATCCCACAACCCATCCCTCAACACAGAAGGATGACTATTCAGGCAGCTATTTTCTCCTGGGTTTTGGGGTCGTTTTTTAAAAGCAGTTTTGGCTATTTTTTGAGCCCAAACCAAGCTTCTGCAAAGCCAATGATCCTCTGTTTGTTTTTAACAAGGAATGAGGAAATGTCAGTTCTCCAGGAAGCTTAATACAGAATATTATTACCATCTGTATTTCTGAAGAAAGAATTCCTGAAAAATTCTTATGCACTGGAATTAGTAGAAGATCAAGAAATCTTTTTTAGCATCAGGCTCTAATTTCTTGAAGTAATTTAGAATATGAACATAGTATTTTTATTTCCTGTTTTTTCTTCCACTTGGTGGGAAAAAAGCCAAGTGTCAAGATAAAAAAATCACCACAACAAAAAACTCAGCATACCTAAGGTCCGATTCCAGGTCCATGTGGTTCCGTTCTAGGTAAAATGAATCTGGACCAGCTAGGCAAGGAATGAATTTCTCCAAGTTTTCTTCTGGATACAGCTGAGATAGCTAAAAGTGGAGGATATTACAAATAATAAGTGAAAAGAAGACTTGTTACTCATATGAGATTCAAGGCACAGCAATTTATAAGTCAAACATTTTATGAAATTCAGTCTGCCTGTATTATCTCAGTACATTTTGAAAAATGTCATGGAACAAAATTACATACAGGGACAAAACATCTCTCCGTTTTCAAGTATTTTTCATATCACCTTTACCTTTGAAATAAATTCAGTCACTTCACTGGAAGATTTGGTTACCAACGACACTGAAGAATCAGACCACAGGACCTTAGGAAGTAAAAAGTATTCAGTTTAGTAACTAATAGACAGGGATTAAGTTTGGTTCCAAAAGATCAATAATTGGTATCAAATGTCCCCCACAGTCTGCAAGAAAGTTTGTAACATGTGACATCAATAAGGAAAAACTTTTTCTATGCACAAGTAACTATTATTCAGTCCTCCCTTGCTGCCTGATTCTTGCTGTTATTATACTTAACTATTCCGAATGCTTAAAAAAGCACTTTATAGTTTACACAGCCATTGCACACTGCAGACATCCAGTATTAAGCAACAGACTACTAAGTAATGGAAATTTTTTTTTCTTATTATTGTTAAAGAAAACAGCTGGTTTGTAGAATCGGATGTACAATATGAACAACTCACCACAGCACAACAGTGCCTATTTATAATTAATCAACTCCATATGCCATGCAAAGTTGAAGATGGCAGCAAATCACCCCACTGCAAAAAAAGGCAAAACCTTAGAAATGAAACCTGCAGTTACTGCTCTAGCTACGCTCTTTAGACACCATCTTGTATATGCCCTAGAAAAAGGAAATAGTTCAGTATCTCTTCCCATACGCTTTCTGCATTAAGTCATTACATTCTTAGATACAGAGGCATTTATTGGTTGGTAGATGTTTTGTTTAACTGAGCCACAAGTCAGGATTTCTTGGCACGAAGAACATCGGCGTGAGAGTGGCCAACGATAAATCCCTTCAGACTTAAGATGTCTATTCAAGGCGTTTGGAAGGCATATGGATCTTCGGCAGTTCCATAGGGGAAGAAGCTGGGTTTATGTGTTTTAAGAATCAGGAGGCCATCTTCTCACATGACACTAGTTTCAATGACAACTGAAAACATACACAAAGTTTTTCCAGTCATCAAAATGCTGCCAAAAAGACTGGTGAGAGGAGAGTATTTCAAAATATATTACATAATGGAGGAATTTCCTCTCTGCAGAGCTGTTACACAAAAAGTAACGGGGAAAAAAAAGAAAATAAGAAAGAAAACTTAAGCAGTTTCTGGTTTTACAAAGCCTGTGGGGTTTTTTGTTTGTTTTTTTCTTTTAAAGTTTGTGCATGAGAAATTTCAGAAAATATAGGAGAAATTTCTCTTTCTTTCTAGTTTTGTAATAACCTGACATTTGTTATGACCTACATTTTGCTAACTTGTTGTAATTTTCAATACTTATAAAACAATAATATGAACCGTAAATGCAGGGAACGATAGCATTGTGAAGCGATGCTGAAAACACTGAACTGCTCTATCTATTGACCTTCTATTCCCAAGCTACTAAACAAAACATTTAATAGTTGGGTTTCTAACCCAGCAAAAAGCAATATATTAGCTCAGCTAAACTATGTACTGTTCGTTCTGTTACAAGCTGCCAACTGGTAAAAGTAATTTCTGGTATTTATAGAAAAAATTATAAAAGGAAAAGATGTTTCACAAGACACTAATATGTAACTGGAGTCCAGACAACTGCATACTTCATAAAGATTTTTAAAATCCCTTGAAAAAATCCCTTCTAATATTGATGACATTTGGAGCAATCATGGGATTCAGAAAATTCAGAACATTATCCACGAATCAAGTCACGCAGAGGTTAACGCTGTCGACATCGCAAGAAGATGCCGAACTGATGCTGTATCTTGGGTGGTAGTTTTAAAGAATAACTTTTTCTTTTTGGTAGAAGTTGTAGATCATTGAAATTCTACTGCCCATTTTCTTTCGGGTTCTCCTTTTCTCACCGACTGTTTGGCTGCATTGCCTCATTAAGCAAACCAAAGACATTTTCTGGGCTTTGCATTCTGTATTTTGGAATATGTTGTTCCAACTAGATGGGAGAAAAGCACTTTTTCATTCTTCCTCGCCAGCACCCAGAATCCAGTCTCTTCTATTAACACAAGGTTTCACAGAATGAAGTCATTGCTCTGCAGAAATTGTCAGCAACGACCGAACCTCCAAAAGCTGCGTAAAAACAGGGGGAAGCCGCTTCTCCTAGCAGCTTGTGGCTAACCACCCTCATTCCAAAGAAACTATTCTCACTTCCAGTTTGAATTAGTCTGGCTTCAATTTTCAGACAACAGTTCCTGTTATGCCTTTTTCTGCTAGATTAATGCCCCCTTTACTGTAAAATATTTTCTTCCCTTTGAAAACATTTTTATATGATACTGAAAGTTATCTTTCAGTCAAGTTCTTTTAAGTCTCTCGCTATATGGCATTCTCCTCAAGCCTTGAATAATTTCCATAGCTATTTTCTGTATTCTTCAACACCCCTTGGAAAACCAGTAACGCCTGAACCATATGCCACAGTCTCAGACTCCCCTCAGTGCTGAATGCAAAGATAAACGACCATCCCACCTCTTTTCCCATATGTGCAGCAGTGCTCTAAGAGTCTAAATTCTCATTTGTCCAGATTAAGACTTAAATTCTTTCCAGCTTCTGCATTCCAGCACATAGATAACCATTCGGCAAGTGTGGCATGATATTTTCCCCTAAATATATACTTTGCCACAACTTGCTGCATTAGAGGAAATATTTTTTTTGGCCTGTGTCCCACTTACCAGACAAACTCTGCATCATCCACAAATGTTCATCAACAGCGATTTATCACTACTTCCAAATAATTGATTAAAAAATATGACGACCATCTATCCCAGATGAGCGCCACTAGACCAATTTCTGGGATCTAACAACAAAGTCTGAGAATTTCTTTAACTCCTCCTTAAATATGATCCTCCCTTCTTTCACAGTAAAAAAAACCCAATCACCAAAACTTACCTCAAAGGAATATTCAACGTTTCTTTCATTCTTCTTGTGTGCCAGTCCCTTTAATTCCACTTTTTCAACACTCACTACGAAAAAGCAAAGAGATAAAAAGAATGAGGAGGATATTCTTAAATGCATGCAAAAGTGATGACTCTTCAGTAGCGCCAGGACTTGCTTTGAGAGCATCCCACGAACTTGCGGTGGTGCTTCAGGTGCACAGCTTGGGCTTGCCTCATTTGGCAAACAGGAAGGTTGATACCACTGCTCCGCGATGCTTTAAATTCTAGCCTTAACAAGGCTTCATTTCAACCAGTACCCAAACAATACACTAAATTCTTTATTTCCTCATGGCCTTATCGTATCACTCATCGGTGTAATAACAGACTGCTGCACAAACATGCGTAGATTTATCTTAGTAACATCAAGTTGCAAATACCATCCCTCCGAGGGAAAACTGGCACACAGAGAAATGAAGATGGGCAAAAGCCTCCATGTTTTCAGGGGCTGATTTTGCACGGAGTTCAGTGTGTTTTTACCACTGTGTTGAGATCATGACTCCTCCTTGACTGAAGTTTCACAGAAAATTTCAGCCTCAATTACGGCAATTCAAGTAAGTTGTAAGTAAAAACAGGATCTTACTGTGGAAAGCGTTGAAAAACAGTACAGGTCACTACTTCCATCTCTACTTATGATATGCAGCCTTTAAAGACACGATCTTACGCATCAGATATTGATACGCTAAATTCTTGGAGACTCTCACTTCCCGAGACACACAGATCAGAAATCTCACCATGCTAAACTTTATGAAGATTATTCTACTGATTTTCTATTTCTCTTGCAAATTTCTCCTGCCTTTTGACTGCACGCGTGGGGATACACACACAGATTTTTTCTTATAAAAAGCCAATTTACATTGGCTTAAAAATTCAAAGGCAATTATACTAAACCAAAGTCACTAGAATTTTCCTCCAAGCAACAGGTGCTTGAAGGGTTGCATGCTGTGTATATTGTGTTTTTACTTCGTGGTTCTAAAAAGCAAAAACCAGAGCCCTACCATTTTGTTTCTGGGGAATCACCATTTACAAGATGTTTACCTCTTTTCAAGACTATTTATACACTATATTACCTGTATGACTCAAACCTATGTTTATCACGTGTAACTTCCTCATAACATAACTGCATGACAAAACAGTTCCAATGCAAAAGTCACAGCAACAACATTACAACAGACAACCTGTTTCATAAGGCTCACATCTCCCTATTCCTTACCATCAGACTGCAGCCAAAGCCACCCTATTACTTGTCTGGAGCTTGATTTTCCTCTACCTTAAAACAATCATGACCTGAAGCCTTTATCGTGGCCATTTAAAATTTTTTGCTGTGTCCTGTTCATTTAAAAATATTACAACCTAGATCTTGGCCATTTTAAAGACCTCCTCTTTGGGTCTTATTTATTTGCAGTAAAAATTTTTAGAACTGGCAAGTTTTAAATAGATCTACAGGTGTTTGTGCCTGTCTTTAAAATACGGAATGAACATTCCTTTTATGATCATCTCAACCCTTCCTTCTCCATGTAATTCCCAATTACAATAACATAAATCTCTGAGCTTATGAATAATGTCAATTCATTACTTACTCCTTTCTCCTGCATATTATGCTTTTTGTAGAGACTTGTTCCTCTTAAAGTTTTCAATGGATTCCTCTCACGCTTCTGAAATGATTTTACAGGACTACCACGCTGTTACACCACATGCTGAGCACCACGGGAATAAATCTTCTGCATGCCAGATATTGATGAGCTATCTAGACAGTATGTAGTGGCATGAAGATTTAAACATGCACATGGTTTGGAGGTTTTCTTGCCATTTTATCTACCTCAGTACATTTCTTTAAGAGAATTCAGGGCACCCTTAATTGTGATCACAGTTAAAACATACTGAATATTGATTGGAATGATACGTACTTCAGAATTATAATTAGGAAGAACTTATAAAGTAGATATTGAGGGGAGTATTACCATACTGTAGGTGAAACAGCTGAAGGATGAGCAAATAACTTGTAGAAAGCCTAGTGTCAGCTGCTGCAACATCTGTTTTTGTTGTAGGATGAAGCAAGCCGGAAAGACAGAGCAAGTGTTACTTAACATTTGTCATTTATAGCAAACCCAGCAGCTAATGATAACTGTTCTTATCATTGGCGTTTCTACAGTATTCAAGTACCATCTCTTCTATCTATTCAATATTCCTCTACAGTAATTCAAGCAAAATAAGATTACCTATCAATATAAAATAAAGCTATTTCTGTTTTACTACGTGGGTTAATGACAAACTTTAAATCACCTCGTGGATTTTGTTGTGCTGACAGTTACATGACCTTTTCATGCTAAAGTTCTGGTCTGAACTTGTCCAGTTAACATAATCTGCTGCAGTGAATTTATCCTCTGGAAAATGACTGCAATTAGCAAAGTGAACCATTAGGTAGGTATTTCTGTACTGACTGCAGTGATCCTAAACTGAATCTGGTAAGATTAGGTCTGTTCTAGAGCATGAAATACAGTTCATTGTGCAGCAGCAATATGCTTCTAGGGATAATTGACTAGATAATTTCTAATGTCATATAAAGTGCTCCAGTAATTTTCTCCTAATTAGCTAACACCGTGAAAAATACCATCCATCTAAAAAATTCTAGAGTTCTTGTTTAATTTGTCAAGTTGTACGTTTTTGTCATACTCTTTGTATTATTTAACTTGGGGTTGGTTTTAGTAAAATAGCCCTCCTAAACCTACCATGAAGCTTAACTTTATTCAGAGCAATTAATCATATAAAACTCAGGAAGAAAAAGGTGCCATCTACCAAGCAGGAGTGAGCGGATATTAAATTTGCTGTCTAACAAATTATAACAAAAAAAGGGTTTTATTGTGGGTTTTTTTTACTGTATTTACTCTCAAAAGCATGGGAAATTGCTCAAAGAGCTGACTCTACCCAATATGGCTATAAATGATTCCATGACCAGAAAAAACCTTTGTACAGAATTAAGGACACACGATACTGTTGCCTTTTCAGGATGCTGAATTCAGCAAAACCCAAGCTTCTCAACCCAGGGGATTAAAAAAAAAAAGTTAATGTTTCTAATTGAGGAGATAGCCAGAGCAAGTATATTTGCACTACTTTAAATCTGAGCTTTACGTCTGGAACTAATCAATGAGAACCCATCCGCAAGTAGTCCAGCTATGCTCTCCACGGTAGGCTTTGTTGTTGTGCATGGGGCAGGAACCAAGCAGAGCAGCCTGGCAGGGTATCAGCCTTGACACAAGATCTCAAGAGACATACCTTTCTGTCTGCTCCTCTCCCAGCACTTCCCCGTAAAATGATCCAAGAAAAGTGCTTGTGTGTGTACATGTGCATGCTTCCCTCACTGCTAGGCTTTCTAAGCTGCATTGGTAGAGGGACACAGAAGATTTTTCGTCGTGAAGATTTATCCATAATCATCTGGGAAATTAAGGCAGGTAAGTGAAACAGTCAGATGAGATCACAAATAACATACGAAAGGGGTAGAGAATTACAAAGGAGGTTTGTAGAACTTCAGTGCTGTAGGAGAGGCTCCCACGGAGGCTGTGACACCATTCAGAAAAGGGCAGCGTACTGGGACATATCCACACAACCCTAAGCATGCGTTCATAGTTACTAGATTAGATTTTTCAGTAGCTGAACTCTACTTTGAAAGGGCAGCAGACAGTTTGAAAACATCTTAATTCACTCAGATTTTCTGCAACAGAATTGCCTAAGATAGTCTTTTATTATTATTTTTATTTGCTGATTCTTTTAAAACAAAAAAGTATTCTTCATGTAGTTTTCAAATGTACACAGAATTGTATCAAGTATAGAAGCTTGCATTTGAAATACCACAGCACAGAGGCAGTTCCATTAGAGGAACTAAGTCATCTTTTCTCCTTTTCATATAGTGCTTACCCCCCCACCTCGTTCCAAATGTCCAAGTAAAACAGATCCAGTGAATTTGAAGACATTTTATTTAGTTCTGTTTTCTTACTCCAGCCTGGGATTTTTACCCATTTGGCTGATCAGTTGAGGCAGAGACAACTCCTTCCCTCTCCTTACAACCAGATATTAAGCGCTCTGGCTTTCTTGATGCCAGCCATTGACCAGCCTCTCCCTCTGAGAGTCGAGGATCTTGGACCTCCTCCTCCCAAAATGGCAGCAGCTACATCAACTCAAAGAATGATTGAAAACCTTTGGGATTAGCCACTCCTGCCAGGTCAAGGTCAGGGTAAAACATGCAGTGGATGTGGGTAAGAGCAGAAAAGACATCATTTTTGAAAACCACCTTAATATCCCCTTGTTGGTTGTGTTTTTTTTCTCACTCTCTTTTTTCAAGTTGTGGATTAAGCTACTGTTAACCAGTAAAAGGATCGGATAGATCAATGTCTCAATCCACACTGAGAATTTTTGTATTCCTCCTGAAAAAGTAAAAAAAAAAAAAATTCAAGATAAAAAAATAATTCAAGATAATCACAAGCGCTGATTGAAGGCTAGCCCTTTTTCATGATAGCCAATATTTCAGCACTAACACCAGCACTCTAAAACTAAATCAAACACCCATTCCATTTTTCACCGGTTTTACTGCGCATAACAGTATAATTTGTACCAGTATGTTTTTCCTTTGATTGAATAGCTTTATAGAGCGCCTTTTTTTTAGCGGTTTTCTTTACCAAAAAAAGCATACATGAGTGTCTAGAGCTTTTTTTGTGCAACGCTAGATGAAAACTACAGATAAGACTGCAAGCCAGGAGCACATCACAAGAGCTGAGCAAAGGGGTTACAGTGAATGACATTGATACTACCAGGAATTATTTACCACACAGTCTGAAAGAGTAATTTCTACTCCATACCTAGCTAGTAATTTTCCTTTTTATTAAATCACTGCACGTAGGTTCAGTTTGTGTGGCATGGCATGGAAATACTGCTCTCTAGCATTCAGGTGGTAAAATTTGAGTGTCATGAGACTGGGTTGAGCCTGTGCAGCTCTTGAGACATGGTACTTGACAAAAAAAAAGCAGAAATGCTACCAT